CCTCGTTACCACCAGATGGTTTCCAAGCATGTATTCCATTCTTGTATGGATAATGTTTGGTGACAATGAGGCTAAACATTATATACTAACTCATGTACTCTATACATGTTTTCGCTCCTTCTTTCTGTTCACATTTATTTTAGCTGCAAACACTCTTTTGAATGATCTCAAGGTGGATGGAGGTGACCAAAAACAGGAGCTATACAGGACCTCTCTTCAAGAGCCATTGGTCCAGTTCTCCTCTATTTCTAGACTCTCTCGACCTAAATCTTCACACCTACTTGATCGTGTACAGAAGAAGCCAGGTGTTGAGGATAGTCTACGTCAACTAAAGAGGCGACGGATAGATATTGGAAATAGTCAAGGGTTCTATGTCCAGCAGTATGCCAAAGCAAGTCCTCAAGCGAGCGATGACGACGGTTCTTGTTGATGGACAAAGTGAAAGAGTTCCTAGACAGCAAGCAGAAAGTGATGCTTGTGCAAGGAGATTCAGGAGCAGGCAAATCCACATTCAACCGCACTCTAGAGCGTATGCTTTGGGAGACATATCAAGAGAGACATGGTCGGATTCCACTGTTCATCAACCTTCCAGCCATCGACAAGCCAGAGAAGGATCTGGTTGCAAAGCAACTGCGAGACTACAGTTTCACAGACTCAGAGATTAAGGAACTGAAGATGAGTCGGTCATTCGTGTTGATCTGTGATGGATATGATGAGAGCATGCAGACCAACAACCTGTATGCATCCAACCAACTGAATAAGCCTGGAGAATGGGAATGTCAGATGGTGATCAGCTGTCGCAGTGAGTATCTTGGATCGGACTATCGAGATCGATTCCAACCTATGGACCGTAATCACCAAGCAGATAGTGGATTGTTCCAAGAGGCAGTGATTGTGCCATTCTCAGAGGCACAGATTGAAGACTATATCGAACAGTATGTCAACTCTATGGATCTGCTGTGGAGTGTGGAGGACTATAAGGGTGCACTCAAGATGGTCCCTAGCCTACAAGAGCTTGTGAAGAACCCATTCATATTGTCGATGTCACTAGAAGTACTCCCACGGATGGTGGATCCAAGTCTTGAGGTCATCAATAGCAAGATCAAGCGTGTTACATTGCATGACCAGTTTGTTGAGCAGTGGCTGGAGCGAGGCAAGAAGCGACTAAGCGAGACATTAAGACCAGAAGATAGGAGGATGTTCAGAGTGTTGACAGATGAAGGGTTTGCAGAAAATGGGATCAAGTACCTGAAGGAACTAGCCGTAGCGATCTACAAGCATCAAGATGGCAATCCAGTGATGGAATATTCGCCATCCAAGGATAAAGGCACATGGAAAGAAGCGTACCTCAGCAAAGAGAATAGAAGGAACCTATTACGTGAGGCATCACCACTCACTCGCACAGGCAATCAATATCGGTTTCTCCATCGATCTATTCTAGAGTACTGTCTAGTACGATCGATATTTGAGCCACAACCGATGGTGAGTACGTCTGCAAATGATGGAGAAGCAAAGGCGACTACACCACCGTCTCGTCGACAGAGTATTAGTTCGATATTCAGTTTCGAAGGCATGGATATCAACGAGAGCGAGCAGGAAGTGGAAGTGGCCACACCTGATGAGGCATCACCTTTAGTATGGAGGAGTTTTGTAGATGAGCCATCTATTCTTCAGTTCCTGGAGGATCGTGTCCGTCTTGAGCCGGTATTCAAACAGCAGCTGTATGGATATGTAGAACTCTCGAAGAGTGATAACAAATGGCGGATAGCAGCAGCGAATGCGATGACTATCTTGATCCGATCAGGCGAGTCATTCATCGGAGCAGACCTGCGAGGCATCCAGATTCCAGGAGCCAACCTCAGTCATGGTATTTTTGAGTATACACAGCTGCAAGGAGCAGATCTGAGGAAGGTTAACTTACGGAAATGTTGGCTTCGTTCAGCAAACCTGAGTGGAGCAAAGATGGCAGGGATACAGTTTGGCGAATGGCCACTTCTTGAAGCCAGTGGCGATGTATTGGGTGGGGCATATTCACCTGATGGCAAGACACTCGCTGCAGTTATCAGAAACGGATCATATAGCAAATCGATCATCGTGTATGACACATCAACATGGGAGAAACTCTTGGCTTTAGAAGACGATGTAGATCCCGACCGGCCTTTATACTCACCAGACAGCAGATATATTGCCTCCTGGGACTATAAGGAAAGCGTAGTTCTAATTTGGGATGTAGGATCGGGAGCATTGGTTCACAGATTGGTGGGCCATACAAAGGCTGTCCGCTGTGTAGCGTACTCGCCAAGCGGGAACGATCTTGCCTCAGCTAGCGATGATGGCTCAGTGCGAGTGTGGGACACCCAAACAGGCGATCTCATATATATGTTAGAGGGCCATAGTGGCCCCATATGGAGTGTGGCCTATTCACCTGATGGAAAGCAGATTGCAACTGGCGGTGAAGACAAGAAATTGCGGCTGTGGGATGCGACATCGGGGCAACAGTCGATGTTGCTGATGGACCATGAGAATTGGATTGAGCAAATTGAGTATTCACCTAATGGTCAGGAAATCATAACTCGTTGTTCTTATGATACCTGCCTGCATGTGTGGGATGTTGGATCAGGTCAAAAGAAGTTTTATTTGGAACATGATGATGATGTCGATGGGATACAGTATTCACCTAATGGGAAGTTTGCTGCCTCGTTCACCCAGACGGTGATATATCAGTGGGATATGCAAACAGGGCAAGTCATTCATACTTTTGATAAGGAATTTAATTGTATCAATGGTCTAAAGTATTCACCAAACGGAGAAACGATAGCTGCTTGCGATCAGAGCAACACAATATGGCTTTTGGATGCGAGATCAGGGCAACTCATGAATACCTTCTACGGTCACTCGGATCGGATAAGGTGCTTGGCATATTCACCAAACAACCACCAGATTGCGTCCTTCAGTAAAGACGAAACGGTACGTCTATGGGATACTCGACCACAACAATCCAGTCACGACTTACATAGCTATTCAGCAGGAATCCTTGGCATAATGAGCTCGCCGGATGGGCAGCAAATAATTTCACGCAGTCGGGATGGAACAGTGCGTATGTGGGATGCAAGGACAGGACAGTCCATCTACACTTTGCAATACCCCGATAAAGATATAAAAGATATCAAGTATTCACCTGATGGCCGGTTGCTTGCCTCTCGCCGTGGAGCTTCATGCATCTATCTTTGGGATGTCCGAACAGACGTACTCGTTCACACTTTGGAGCTACAAGGTGAAGGTGCTGATGATATCGAGGCCTTTGATTTCTCACCTATTGGCCACCAAATTGCCTGTGGTCATTATTCTGGAAGAGTGACTATATGGAACACACAAACAGGAGAGCTCATCCGCACACTACATGGCCACAAAACATATTTAACGATTGTGGTATTCTCACCTAATGGCGACCAGATTGCTTCGTACAATAGCGGTGGAAACATCATAGTCTGGAAAGCTCAATCATGGGAACTCCAGCATGAAGTGAGTGTTGAAGTGAGTGATAGAGATTTCCGTTACTCTTATATCGCATACACGCCTGACAGCCGGAAGATAGTGTTGTGGAACAAGCTTACTCGCAACTGGAAAGTATGGAGTGCAGGAACGGGTGGGATATGTTACGAAATACAGTTTGACGATGAGCTAAATTGTATAGCATTTTCACCATGCAGTCAACAGATGGCTGTTGGACATAGGAGAAGGCTGTTTAGGGTGGGGGATATTGAAACAGGGTCAATACTATGGGTGCTTGAAGGACATATTGACACGATTACTGATATTGCTTATTCGCCTGATGGAAGATACATTGCCTCAAGCAGTGAGGACATGACAGTGCGAGTGTGGGATCCGAAATCAGGCCAGTGTTTGATTGTAATCCCATGTGAAGGTGGTTATGCTAAAACGCTTGTATGGAATGCTTTTGAAGAGGGCCACTATTTGGTTACAGGCTGTCAGGATGGTTCTATCCGGATGTGGCAGATTGTGAAGGAGAATGAGGAATACCAATACCACCTAAAGTGGAGCACCAGACAAACGTTCCTTAATGCAAACAACACTCGTATTCAGGATGTAGATGGGTTGAGTGAAGCCAACAGGAAGCTTTTATTCCAACGTGGAGCTATAGACGAGCAGTCCTCCTCTTTGGCTGTGCATGAGGCGATCAAGAGTGTAGGGACGCCACCTATAGCATCCAAGACCAAGAATGGGCCCAGTCAAGTGAGCCATTATCAAGAACCACCAACAAAGGTAGATTTAGAGGCAGCTCTAAAGACAGAAGGGCTGAACGAAGGAACACGATTGACAAGGTTGACAGAAACAAGCCAGTTGATCGGAGGATACCGGTACAAATGCAGAGTATGCAAGGAATGTAGTATTGCACATGTCATTTCATGCGAACCATGTGGGTAAAGAGTATAGATTAAAGAATGTGGATAGACAAGAAGTCGTTCGGGATATAAAATAAAGTGCGAGCATTGCCTCTTTATAATCACGCCATAAAAAAGAAAGTGCTTGTTGAATAAGAGAGGATAGCTTGAGAGAGATTGTTATATTTATAGAAAAATTTTTAGTAGCTACATCTAAATACTAGGGATCTGAACAAACCGACCAAGTAGACTGTATCACCACTTTCAGCACTCAGTAGTTGCTATATATTGAAGCAGGTAGAAAAATTAGGTACTGTGTTTTACTGTGTGTCGATTTTTTGTTTGTAGTTTTTGAAATGGAGAAAAAGACCCGAGTCAATAAAAGTTATGCAAAGATACTATCCGTTGTATATATTAGTAACGCTTTTATTTTCGAAATCCTTTATTTTGCCTTCATGAGACAAAGCACTAGAGTCGGCCAGCTCGTATAAGACTAAAGCAGGGAACATTTAGGGGACAGGAGAAGTAGCAGGAATTAAAAAAACAGGAAGTCATAAATTGCCATAACAGATGCAATGGGCTGAAAGCAAATCGCAATCAAATCCTAATTAGGCCACTGGTAGCGTTGGCGATGACAGTCTGTGGAGGGAAGACAAATGAGAATGAGGAACTGTAATGGTAGGGAAGATCATTAGGAAGGAAAAGGAGATTGAGGAATGAATGTTGGAAGTGCAATTTATTGCATCAGTTCTGACACGCACCATATTTCTGTTGCAACGCTCTTCTGCTCTGCCTCATCATCAACTCTCTGAAAACATAAAAACATAGCTTAATGTTTATTTTTTTATTGAGCTATGGATTGACTCTGTGTTCAGATTTGAATGTGGACCAACACTACATTAAGAATGAACGCAAGAGACTAACAATTGTGGTAACTGGTTCGCTAATTTTCAACACTTCACAGTAGCTATTTTTGTTGCCTATGTGTCATTGCTACATTCTTTGTTAATGTGTCGCTGATATCGTTATGCCTTTGAAGTCAAATGTACCTCTTATCCATTTCTTATCCAAGGTAGCTCTTCTTCGTTGCTTGATCATATCAAATGTCGATAGTGCAATTGCCTAATATCCCAACGAGGAACAGAGCAGAGTAAGTACTATTAATATAACGTGTTTCCGCTGATTTCCCTTAATATTATGGTTATCAGCATACCCTTGCAGACACCAGAGGTCCGATACCAAGAAGCAGCGAGAGTTCAAGTGGTCCTGAAACAAGTCGAAATGTTCCTAGCGACTGTAAGTGGTAAATAGCCTCGGAATGAATGCTCAAACGGTATGCATCCACTGACATACCTCTGCCATGTATGAGAATGACAGGTGTGAGAAATCCTGCTTTGTACAAGCCGTCTACGGCTTCTTTACCCATGAAGACCAACTTCATATAATCATCCTGCATAACCTTCTTTGATGCCATCGCTGTCTTAAATTCACCTAAGACAATTGAGTGTGCTCCAGTCGACACTTGATAATCAGGCAATTGTAGCCTGGCATCAGGATCCTCAAATCTTCCAGATCGCAGTGAATCGCGACTCCTAGAAAAATACAATTGTATGTCAGTTATATAATATTAAAATAGCAGATTGCATTCTCTATCACTACTGAACCCATCAATATCTTACCATCGAAACGAGCACCCTGCAAAGTCACCAAATGTTCCAGTCAACAATGGCTTGATGAGGCAGTTAGTAAACGTATCTTCGTTATCACCTGCACCCTTTCTGTACCAGTTGCAGTCTAACCAGAGTCCTGCCTTCCAGAAGTATGATGATATGGCACGGTATACGATTGATGATGCTAATCTTGGTTCCTGCTCGAACCATTCTCGGAGTTGATTATACGAGTATGTTGTTGCATAGGCTGCAAGCCGTCCAAGAAGGTCTAGTTCTCCGGGCTGTAAGCTGATGGGGTTGTGAGATGGGAATGCCTCATCAACCTTCTCGACAGGAAGCAAGCGTAAGAGCAGCAACCTAGAAACAACAAAATTTGTCAGCCTATCATTACCCACAAAAATGATTGTGTTAGAGATGCTATCAATGTTCGTATTATGCACATTCTAAAGCTGCCTTACAAATATTAACAGCAGATCTTCTACATCAGTCCGTGTTGACTGCGTTATTATGGCTCTTCGATCTCTCATAACTGTAGTTGAAATATCACAGCCACCAATCACAAGGCAACCCTCTGTTGATAGTTGACTTGAAAACTCCCCTGGACCAACGAGAGAATCCATCTCAATTGGCTCTGGTATTTCTCCAGCTAGTTCTTCATCATGTGTAGCTGCTGAGTCTGTTTCTAATTCCTTTTCCCCAAGTTGAAAGTCTTCATCCTCCGATTCACCTGACACAAGATTGAAATGCAACGCAAGGTGCGGTGGTTCTTCTTCTTCACCTTCCATAAGCAAAAGTCTTCGCTTGTTGGCTGCATCTTGATGTAGTAAGTCTTCATAAAAATAATCTGTTCGGAAACTTGACTCACGTATTCTCAGGATGTTACTAGCATGCTCACGGACTTGACCATCGACCGCTGCCTTGTATCTTATCGCGTCTAGACTTTTTGTATATCGCCGATATGCCTTGTTTGATGTCAGATGCTTTTTTCTTTAATAAATCGCTGCAAAATGCGCGTACGTTTGTCCATTCTGAAATCGGGTTGTTGAAGAAAAATTGATCTACTTGATCCTCTTCATCGAACAAACGTGACAAGAGCGCGTTACTATACTATGGCCATCAACATGAGGCTGTTCGGTACAAAAAGTGTAGTATCAGAATATACGATAAAGTATACAGACCTCCTACCATGTTAAGAGCTACACAAATGAAACAAGATCGCACTTCAAACTTACAGTACTCTCTTCTTTTTCTGAAATTTCGCTTGCTTTCCGCTTCGACGGTGGAAGTATTTCATCAACTACTGTCACAAACCCCTCGTCAGTGTTTTGAGCTTTCTTGCCTATGCCTATATTTATCGATAATACAAGTATGAATAACATCAACAACAACAATAATAGTTACCATAATGATGTCTTACCATTGGTGCCACTAGCTCCGGTTTGAACAGGCCCTTTGCTTGCGGAGGATTCAATAGCGATCCTGTTACGTCCTGAGGCTAGGGAGTGCACCCAAATGGGGCATTCTCCTTTTTATTCATAGATCAGAGCAATTAGTGACGGCTATGTTAGAGCCTATATAAGGCTCCGACCTAGCTAAAATAGTAAACAACTTTTGATCTCCTTGACTTCCGACTTACCATAAAATATTTCAAATTGAAACAAGTGGGCAGTTATCTACACTCACGGCGAGCAAATGGCGAACAAAATAGCCAGCAATCAAATAACAAACAGACAAATAGTCAGCAACAATCGAATGGCCTTTCTTTGCAGCATTCAAGAGTCACCGTTCCTCAACGTCCAAAACCCTTATTACCGAGAAGCGAACATGGATATGACAAGGACGATTGCAGTCGTGATGCCTCTCCTGAGAATCCAAGAACAGTTTCTCAACCATCCCCATTTCCTGATAGTTCCTCCCCTCCCTTCTCAGTACCTTCAAACCACTACAAAGACACTCCTAAACAGTTGATCAGGAAACATTTATTGGCACACTTCTTGCGAACTCCAAAACTTGGAGTCTTATATCTGTATCTGGCCCAGGTAGTAAGACCCAACATAATGAAAACAAATCAGAAGTTCGCAAAACCATGCTAGAGAGTTTCAAGGCCAAGTTCGGTTTGTGTCTCGATGATAAACAACTAAAAAACAAAATTACGACCATGGTATCATGCTGGGAATCCGCCCACAAACTTTACAATCAAACTGGCAATGGCGATACACCAAAAGCAACGCTAAAAGAGAGAATCCTGAAGATATGCCATTATTACGATATCCTTTATCCTGTAGCCACGACATCCATCAAACTAAATCCTCCTCCGGTTTGTGAACTCACTACAAACCTATGTTCTAAAAGGACTGTAGCCGTGGGCGATACAGACGATGATCGTGAGAGCGACAAGGATGATGACGAGTATATCAACGAGGGAAAGCCATGGGCATCAAATAAGTAACAAGTGGAACGAGAACAATATATCAGGAAAAAGCAAAAGCGCGGAGGAAATGGGATTGAAATGATTGAATTTATGCAAAAATTGGTTGAAAAGTCTGAGCAGCAACAAAACAAAATTGGAATTGAAGCAGCAAGTAATTAATCTGGAGAAAATGGCAAAAGAGCAGGCGTTGGAGTCAGAGAAAAGGATAAATGATATTAAAGAAATGAAGGCATCAGCATAAGAGAAGAAGGCATCAGCAAAAGCGAAGAAGGCAGAGGCAGAGGCGAAGAAAGCAAAAGCAGAAGCAGAGTTAGCAATATTACAAATCGAGGCGATGAAGGCTACGTTGTTGCGAAAGGCTAATGAGTAAGCCGGATCGGCGGCAACCAAGTCACCAAAACAATCCCCATACTTATGTTCAATAAATATTATTTAATAACTTGCTTCATTCATTTAATACTATTTGCATGAACCACTGTCGTTTCGCTGCTCCTTCCTTTAGTATTTCTCTGAGCTGGGATGGGGTCAAGTTGTCATCAACGTTATCATCAACGTTATCATCAAAGGAATCCTCAATCTCACCTTGATAATCCTCTTGCTCGAAACCAACTTGCCCTTGCTTCAGCACTTCATGAATCAGCCTTGTCTCCTCTCCACTTGTTTCATTTCCCTCAACCCCCAACTACATCACATAGAATAGCTTCCTCTTGATGTGCATCTAGGAGCTCAGGCTTCTTGAGGATATTGTGCAATACAACACATGCTGAAATGTGCATATTAACATGCTCGATGGATTTACGATCGGTTATGTTAAATCGCAAAGAGGTAAGAGACTTCCATCTTCCTTTGAGTAACCCTACTGCATGCTCAATAATAACCCTAGCTGAACTGAGCCTTTTGTTAAATCTTTTCTCGTCTCTTTGGAGCTGTCCTCTGAATCCTGTAATAAGGGTTGGGGTAAGGCCATATGCTGCATTTCCGATAATGTACTCATCCCCCGAAAAGTAGCTAGCTTTGTCTTTATAAAGTTGGGTACTCTTGTGTGCCGAGGGATCATGCCAGCTTCCAACCCCGTCGCGAAAAACGTAAATGCTCCACGGTGGTCACAGGCAGCGGTAGCACCCATAGCAAAATCACCATGCCTTGTGATCCAGTTATCTTTGTCATTTGAGGGTGCCCGATAAAACGGAAATGTGGTTCCATCAATAGGGCCAAGCAGCTCAGGGAAGCCAGTCTTGACCTGAAATGTGACTTAATCTTTGACCTTTCTTCCATTGGCCAGGACACGAACATTGTTATATAGATTCTGATAAGAGGGAGACGCAAAAAAAAAAAAAAAAAAAAAAAAAAAAAAGAAAAAAAAAGCAGTTGACCACTCTGCCACACTCCACTTTCCGAAACCTCTTGCCGATGCTGACACAAGAGCGTGCTAAAAAGTACCAGTGTAGAACAGATAGATGTGTTTCTGGGCCTGCAAACATCCAGAGATTAAATAAAACGATACTTACTAACTGACGAAAGCGTTTATAGGACCTTTAAATATGAAGAAAAAAAAAAAAAAAGGGGGTGGGGGGGAGGAGAGAGAAAGAGATTAGTGCGCAGGAAGAGAGTAAAAAAGGATGCCGACGCGTAAGTAAGTAAATGAATCGTCAATGAATTAATTAAAATGAGTACAATCAGTATAATTACCTTGAATCAAACGGCCAAGTAGTGCGAATGTTACATTATTGAGGAGGAGGGACAGAGAAAGAAAATGTTAAAAGAATGATTACGAAGGATTATTGGGTAATGGGTGAGGATAATGTGGGCAATGAGCAATGGGCAATGGTAATGATGGAGCAAGGGAGAGAGTATTTTTCTGGCTGGGTTGGGAAAAATTAATCTGTGGCTTAAATTGACCCCCATACGTTGTGTACGCCCTTTTTTTGCCACCATCTTTCTTCCTTCCACTTTCTTCCCAGCTTTCTCACCTTCCCTTCATCACAATAACATTGGCATTCTCACTTACGTCCTTGCTCTTAAATAATTTATTGTTTTTTCAAAGTGCAATCGTACCGGAATGACAACACAAACTATTAAACTTTTTTGCATTCTTGAGGACATTTCTTCGGCATTTCCTGTCAAGCTGGATGTTGAGGATACTGTAGGCGAGCCCAAGAAAGAAATCTAAGAAGAGAAAACAAATGACATTCAAAGAGTTGACGCCAGCAAGCTTTTACTCTATAAGATTACGATTCCTGATCAGGGCATTTATGTCAATCTCGGCAAGATTGATTCTCCAATACCTCTCACTAAAGGAACTACCGAAATCACTGAGGTCCCTGGCGCAGCACCAGCTAAGGAAACAATTCATGTCATCTTTCAACGTTTATCGGCAGGTAAGTGTGTCTTTTTTTCCTGCCAGGGAATGGTTAATTAATGGTTATAGAAATGGCGCATCGAATTTCTCTTTTTTTTTAGTATTGACGGCTTTCCTTCGTTCCCATAAGTGTAATGAGAGGAATCGAACCAACATTGCGATTCATCGCTCATACTAATTAATTATTCAAACACATTATTCATTAATAAATCAATGTTACTGATTACCCTTCTATATATCTATACACCTCGTCTCGATATATTAAAGCAGGTAGAAAAATTAGGTGACTGCGAAATTATGTGGCAGCCTTAGGGCAACATAAATAAACAAAACATAAATAAGCAACAGCTTGAGGATTCACTCATCTGTGGGTGACAAGAGTGTAGTTTAATTGGAGGATGGACATCCAGTGTAGAATGGCTGTCTTTTACCAAGAAGAACGTAATTTACTTTATTTTGCCCATGTGACACGTTGTCTGAAAGAAATGACTTCGCCCAAGACTAATAAAAATAAGCAATGCTTAAATAAATTACATTGCAGACGTAAAAAAAGCAATAAGGCCTCTATTTAACTTGGGATTTTCTGCTGGCTCTTGCATTCTTTTATTTTACTGCAATATCTTTCGTTTGAAACAGCCCTCCCAGCATCAAAATTTGATTGCAGCATTGTAAATACATGGCCTACACCTGTATTCCGTGCAACAGTAGCAATCATGACAGGTGGACCCGCCCTCAAAATACAAAGGTTGCGGGCATTTGAATGAAACTTGAGAAGTTAGGGCTATAGTTCTCCTCCAGAACTCCATTTCTCGTCTGATGAGCTTTCGATTCGGTCTGATGCTTTGTGGCGAAGACCTGAGTAAAAATGTAAAAGTGCAAGGAATAGAGGGATTGTCTGGGGCAAAAGTGTAAAAGGATGGCAATATGGACTAAAGCATTAAGAAAAGAAAAAATCCACAGACATTAAAACTTCATCAGTGATAGCACCCACATGTATGTATCGATAGTTGAGGGAGCACATAATTGAGGCTTGACCATTGGAAGGCATATGGCAAGGGCGTATAGGCGTCTTTTGAAGAAACTCATCGATTTTATCATGCATGAGGCCTGGCTATGTTTGTTATATATTCCTCCTATGCACCAAGAGTTGAGGAAACCCATGATTAGAATCTGGCAATGCTATGTATCAAGGGCTGAAGGAGCTCAGCATTGAGGTCTGGTCATTTTTGGAAGGACATCCAACGCATTTATTTATCCCAAAAAAAAAAAATAAAATAAAAAATTCCATTTTTCATGATTACAGTGATTTTACCAACAAGCAATGTTTGCAATTTACACTTTATTCTAAACGATTCCTACTCATCGGCCCTTTTACTCGCAAGGTTCACATGAAATGATATGTGCAACACTACATTCGTCGCACACACTGCATTTGAACCGGTAGCCTCCGATCGTTTGGCTTGTCTCTATCAACCTTAGTGATTCTCCTTCGCTCAAAACTTCTCTCTTTAAATCTGACTTTGCTGATGGTTCTTGATAATGGCCCACTTGATTGGACGCACTCTTGCCCTTGGATGCTGTCGATGGCATTCCTACATTCTTGGTCTCCTCATGTGCAGCCAAAGGGGAGGATTGCTCGTCTATAGCTCCACGTTGCACCAAAAGCTCCCTGTTGACTTCACTCAACCCATCTACACCTTGAATACGAGTGTTGTTTGCATTAAGGGTCGTTTGCTTAGTACTCCACTTTAGGCAGTATTGATGTATTTCATCCTCCTTCACAATCTGCCACATCCGGATAGAACCATCCTCACAGCCTGTAACCAGATAGTGGCCCTCTTTAGAGGCATTCCATACAAGCGTATTAGCATAGCCACCTTCACATGGGATTACAATCAAACACTGGCCTGATTTCGGATCCCACACTCGCACTGTCATGTCCTCACTGCTTGAGGCAATGTACCTTCCATCAGGCGAATAAGCAATAACAGTAATCGCCTCAATATGTCCTTCAAGCACCCATAGTATCGACCCTGTTTCAATATCCCCCACCCTGACCAGCCCATTCCAATGTCCAACAGCCATCTGTTGACTGCATGGTGAAAATGCTACACAATTTAGCCTATCGTCAAACTGTATTTCGTAATATATCCCACCCGTTCCTGCACTCCATACTTTCCAGTTGTCGAGTCTATGGTCGTTCCACAACACTATCTTCCGGCTGTCAGGCGTGTATACGATATAAGAGTCCCTGCTTGATCTACCACTCACTTCAACACTCACTTCATGCTGGAGTTCCCATGATTGAGCTTTCCAGACTATGATGTTTCCACCTTGCTCATACGAAGCAATCTGGTCGCCATTAGGTGAGAATACCACATTACGCATCTCTGTTTTGTGGCCATGTAGTGTGCGGATGAGCTCTCCTGTTTGTGTGTTCCATATAGTCACTCTTCCAGAATAATGACCACAGGCAATTTGGTGGCCAATAGGTGAGAAATCAAAGGCCTCGATATCATCAGCACCTTCACCTTGTAGCTCCAAAGTGTGAACGAGTACGTCTGTTCGGACATCCCAAAGATAGACGCGTAAAGCTCTATGGCGAGAGGCAAGCAATTGCCCATCAGGTGAATACTTGATATCTTGTATATTTTTACCGGGGCATTGCAAAGTGTGGATGGACTGTCCTGTCCATGCATCCCACATACGCACTGTTCCATCAAGACTGCGTGAAGCTATTTGCTGCCCATTCGGCGAGCTCGTTATGCCACGGATTCTTGCTGAATCGCTATGTAAGTCGTGACTGGATTGTTGCGGTCGAGTATCCCATAGACGTATCGTTTTGTCTTCACTGAAGGACGCAATCTGGTGGTTGTTTGGTGAATATGCCAAGAAGCATATCCGATCCGAGTGACCGTAGAAGGTATTCATGAGTTGGCCTGATCTCGCATCCCAAAGCCATATTGTGTTGCTCTGATCGCAAGCAGCTATCGCTTCTCCGTTTGGTGCATACATTGCATACATTAGATCATTGAAACCAGCAAAATTTTCACCACCAAAAGTATGAATGATTTCTTCTGTTTGCATATCCCACTGATATATCTCCGTCGCGGTGAACGAGGCAGCAAACTTCCCATTAGGTGAATACTGTATCCCTCCGACCGGACCATCATGCTCCAAATCAAACTTCTTTTGACCTGATCTAACATCCCACACATGCAGCCAATCATCATCGTCACAACCAGTTATGATTTCCTGACCATTAGGTGAATACTCAATTTGCTCAATACTATCCTCATGGTCCATCAGCAACATCGACTGTTGCCCCGATGTCGCATCCCACAGCCGCAATTTCTTGTCTTCACCGCCAGTTGCAATCTGCTTTCCATCAGGTGAATAGGCCACAGTCCACACAGCAGCAGTATGACCCTCTAATATGTATTTGAGAATGCCTGTTTGGGTGTCCCACACTCGCACTGAGCAATCACCGCTAGCTGAGGCAAGATCGTTCCCGCTTGGTGAGTACGCTACACAGTAGACACGCCCTGTATGGCCCACCAATCTGTGAACCAATGCTCCCGATCCTGCATCCCGAATTTGAACTACACTTTGCTCTTTGTCCCAGGAGGCAATATATCTGCTGTCTGGTGAGTATAAAAGCCTGCAGGGAGTTATATCGTCCTTCAAAGCAAAAAGCTTCTCCCATGTTGATGTGTCATACACGATGATTGAATTGCTATCTGATCTGTTTCTGATAATTGCAGCGAGTGTCTTGCCATCAGGTGAATATGCCCCATCCAATATATCGCCACTGGCTTCAAGCAGTGGCCATTCGCCAAACTGTACCCCTGCCATCTTTGCTCCACTCAGGTTTGCTGAACGAAGCCAACATTTCCGTAAGTTGACCTCCCTCAGATCTGCTCCTTGCAGCTGAGCATACTCAAAAATACCATGGCTGACATCGGCTCCTGGAATCTGGATGCCTCGCAGGTCTGCTCCGATAAATGACTCGCCTGTTCGGACCAAGATCGTCATCGCATTCGCTGCTGCTATCCGCCACTTGCTATCGCTCTTCGAGAGCTCTACATATCCATACAACTGCTGTTTGAACACTGGCTCAAGAAAGACACGATCCTCCAGGAACTGAAGAATAGATGGCTCATCTACAAAACTCCTCCATATTAAAGGTGATGTCTCATCAACTTTGACCACTTCCACTTCCTGCTCGCTCCCTTTGATATTTATGCCTTCGAAACTGAACACTGAACTAATACTCTGTCGACGAGACGGTGGTGTAGTCGCCTTTGCTTCTCCATCGTTTACAGACGTACTCATCATCGGTTGAGGCTCAAATATCGATCGTACTAGACAGTACTCTAGAATAGATCGATGGAGAAACCGATATTGATTGCCTGTTCGAGTGAGCGGTGATGCCTCACGTAGCAAATTCCTTCTATTCTCTTTGCTGAAGTACTCTTCTTTCCATGTACCCCTATCCTTGTACTCCGAGTACTCCACCACTGGATTGCCATCTTGATGCTTATAGATTGCTATAGCCAGCTCTGTCAGGTACTTGATTCCATTCTGTGCAAACCCTTCATCTGTCAATATCCGAAACATCCTTCTGTCTTCCGGTCTTAATGTCTCGCCTAGTCGCTTCTTGCCTCGTTCAAGCCACTGCTCAACAAACTGGTCATACAATGTGACCGCTTGATCTTGCTCTTGGTGATCCTTGACTTGGATCCACCATCCGTGGGAGTACTTCAAGTGACATCGATAGTATAAATGGGTTCTTCACAAGCTCTTGTAGGCTAGGGACCATCTTGAGTGCAGCCTTATAGTCCTCACACCCCACAGTAGTCCATAGAATCGACATATTGTTCGATATAGTCTTCAATCTGTGCCTCTGAGAATGGCACAATCACTGCCTCTTGGAACAGTCCACTATCTGCTTGATGATTACGGTCCATAGGTTGAAATCGATCTCGATAGTCCAATCCAAGGTACTCACTGCGACAGCTGATCACCATCTGACATTTCCACTCTCCAGCCTTATTCAGTTGGTTGGATGCATACAGGTTGTTGGTCTGCATGCTCTCATCATATCCATCGCAGATCAACACAAATGACCGATTCTTCTTCAGCTCCTTGATCTCCGAGTCTGTGAAACCGTAGTCTCGCAGTTGCTTTGCAACCAGATCCTTCTCTGGCTTGTCGATGGCTGGAAGGTTGATGAACAATGGAATCCGACCATGCTCTCTTGATATGTCTCCCAAAGCATATGCTCTAGAGTGCGGTTGAATGTGGATTTGCCCGCTCCTGAATCTCCTTGCATAAGCATCACTTTCTGCTTGCTGTCTAGGAACTCTTTCACTTTGTCCATCAACAAGAACCGCTCGCCATCGCTTGCTTGAGGACTTGCTTTGGCATACTGCTGGACATAGAACCCTTGACTATTTCCAATATCTATTCGTCGTCTCTTTAGTTGACGTAGACTACCCTCAACACCTGGCTTCTTCTGTACACTATCAAGTAAGTGTGAAGATTTAGGTCGAGAGAGTCTAGCAATAGAGGAGAACTGGACCAATGGCTCTTGAAGAGAGGTCCTGTATAGCTCCTGTTTTTGATCACCTCCATCCACCTTGAGATCATTCAAAAGAGTGTTTGCAGCTGAAATAAATGTGAACAGAAAGAAGGAGCGAAAACATGTATAGAGTACGTGGGTTAGTATATAATGTTTAGCCTCATTGTCACCAAACATTATCCATACAAGAATGGAATACATGCCTTGGAAACCATCTGGTGGTAACGAGATAGTTGTCTAAGGATATTTATGATCCATTGCTTAATGCGTATATGCTGTCCCCACTCCTTGTCATTCCTGTATATCTCTCCTAGGAATGTGACGGCATCTTGCCGAATACCCATGCTCCACTTTGTATCTGCTGCAGCCTGTCCCAACATCTGACAGAGTCCCCATTGGAATGCTACTTCATTTCGACAGGAGACTTCACACACAAGAGTCTTGAACTTGGTCAGCTCGCCTCTCTGCAGTAGTCCATCAGCTACTCGAAGTGCTGGATACCATCCTGACTTGCGACTGAAGCTGAGTCCTTCTTCCATACACTCTCTGAACGCCACTCCACTCTCATAGAGTGATGTTGTTCCCTTGTACACCGCAGACTCTTGTCCATGATATCTGTCACTGATGGAAGTCCTTTCTGGATGTTGCTTATCTCATCCATAAAGGCATTCATATCCATGTCTTTGACTGCACTCACTACTCCAAACACTCCTCGGAGTACTGCTGATGTCCGTCGGAGAATACTTTGCACTGTCGATTCGTCGTCTGGAATGTGCAATAGTGCTTGGAAAGCATAAGCTGACTGATAGACTAGATGAGGGTCTGAACTCTCTTTCAATCCTTTGAGGTATACTGCAAGTGGCTCATGGAGTTGTTCTCGCTTCAGATCCTTGACCTGGTTGTTGACCATGGCATCGAGGACATGTGAGACTGTAGATGAGAGGTGATATAGATGATCTCCAGATTGAGTATGTGTGCTTTGCAAGCGAGAATTGAGAGCATTGAGGATCTTGACAAGGTCATCCGAGTGGAGGTATCCAAGAGGAGCATGTTGCATCAACTGAGCCAGTCCTTCCAGTAAATGAATCCTCAGCATGCTGTTATGGCTGATGTCATTGATCAAAGCCGCAAGTAGTGCTCTGAACTGTGTTTGGTCAAGACCTGGTGCCAGAGCCACAACCTCAGCAACAGTAGCTTCGGCCTTAATCTTATCGTTGATAAACAGTTCAACCACATCCGATCCCAGCTTACGCAATCGACCATGTTCATCCTGATTGCTTGATATGGCCTGATACCACTCTTTCTCAAGCCTATTAAGATCGTTTGTTTGGATAGAGCCATAAGAAGCAGGCTGAGACAATATGCAAGCTGGTAGATATTATCCAGACTTGCATCGCATCTGGTAAGTTGTACTTGATGACTGTTGGAGATTCATTGTGGTTGAATATGTCCTTTGATATAGTTGCAATGGCCTGTACTGGCATGAATCGCACTGTTTCCATCACCTTGCTCATTTTGCTACTGCTGGGTCCGTTGACTTGTTGGTTAGCAGTGACATTGCTGTTATTGTTGTTGGTGTTGTTGTTGTTGTTGCTCCCTTGGATGTATCCCCATTTCTCTGCTTTCTTGTCTCGTCTCTGTGCATCAGCTGAGTGACCCAATTGGTCAAATAAGCGAGCAAGTTGATAGTAGGCTGAGCCAATACCTTGGCGCAATACCATGTCTTCATTAGAACCTGAAGAGGTCGAAGAGGCTGAAGTCATTGAAGCAAAGGACTTTTTCCAAGGCTTCTGAATACGAGACAGTACAGAGTCAGCATTGAGGCATAGCTCTGTCACTAGGATGCGATCGTCGTCTATGGTGCGAGCACCCTGCATGTACAAGTCAAAGAGTCTCAGAACCTGTGCTGGCGAGAGTGCACTGCGTGAGGGAGAATTGGTGTTGCCAAACATGGTCTATTGCTTTCGTCTTTGCTCGTAGATGGCATTCCTATCCACACCACTAAGAGGAGAATGATTGTCAAAAGACAGTTTGTCAGTGGTGAGTGTGAAAAAAGGTTTTCTTGCGTGCTCCAGTCATGTTTGTCTGTCTCTTACATGCATGTATGCTTTAAGGATTCGAGATTCGAACTAATAAAAAAGAAAGGGAATCGGCTAATGTACTAAAGGATGAAGAATAAAAAGATGAAAGATGAAAGATGAAAGACAAATGGCGAAGGCTGATGAAAGATTAGACGCATGCATCTCCCTGTCTTTGTACGACTGTTGCTTTGGTAATTACTCATTCAGCTATTTTTTTCTTTTTTTCTTTTTACAATGTGCGTTGACTAAGGGTCAGTTGGTTGTTATCGTTTCTGCTCGACTGATCTGTTTTTTTGGTACCTGAAGGAAAGGAAGGAAGTGAATGAGGATGGATTCGTGAGATCATGCTTTGAATGGATGGGCTGTGTAGGCACATTCACATGCATGGGAAAGATTAAATAGTTTCCACCTGTGACAAGTGGAGTAGAACACAGCTTCGCCAAGCACAAAGTGATGGTTGATGCCATCACTAACCTGACCATGTCCCAGCTTGTGCTTTTGCAAGACAACGAAAGAAAATAATAAAGCAGGCTTGACGAACAAATGCCTGGTAGAGCTCAGTGTTGGTAAAAAAAGCCAGGTGTATGTGATGACTGTAACATTGTGTTTGTACTTGGCTATGGTTCTCATTCATCTTTGTCCCCGTCCCTGTCGTAACACTTTATACTACACGGGACGCAACTCTCTCACTCCTTGATTGGTATCTTTCCGACCTCACAGATTTGTAACGATTCCTACTCATTATTGACCAGCATTTGGAAGGAGGAGTTCTCTTTCTCATTCTTTTCTTTTCTTTCTTTTCTAATGTGTAAGCTGATATCAGGAAAGGAAAAACCATTCCGTATGGGCATGTTGAGTATGCTGTCGCTTTTTTTTTTTTACCGCCAAATGAATTTGTGCAGGCCAATAGGCTTGTACAGACATTAGAGCAAAGCATATGATGACACTTGGTACTCTCTCACTCTCAGTCTTAAAAAGAGCCTCGAATAATAGGCACGAAGACTTGATCACAGACTCTTGGCAGCAAGAATGAATCATCATCTCTCTCGCTAGGATAGTAGTAATTTTAAAGTATGCGAAACGGTTCTAATATGGGTCAAGAGTATGCTATGCTATGCTATGCTATGCTATTCACTTGATTGCCAAGTGGTCAGATAAACCAGCATTTGCCATCACCACTTACCATCATTGAAGTATAGCAGCAGCAGCTCCGGAACAAAGAAATGGTTCGTAGTACAGTTTCTTCGTAATACATAACCATTTATTTGGTCGTCTCCTTTAGAGACCATTCTGAGCTGGCCACTACAAACTATACATTGAGTAAATGGCGCTTACTAGGGATAATTCTTCAAAGCAGGTCATATCCGGTTATACAGTATAGACATGATTGAAGTCTGATGGTTTAGCTTCAGAATATTAACCAACCATTCAAAAAAGCAAAGAAGCTCATTAAACAATCAACAGCTACAAAAAAAAGGACTATACATGTAACTTGTTTTGATACGTTAGATGCAGCTTATCGATACAGGTTTAGCATACCGATGTCTGGATCGTCATTTCAAGCGGTCTTCTTTGGCTGGAAGTGGCCAGGTATGCAATGGTGTACATGGTTTATAGTCCAATGAAAACTAGAAAAGAGAGTATAGTTTACAATGGCAGAGAAGTTGAGATAATAAATAAGCGGCAACTTTATTTAAGCACGAGCCACACTTGGCTGTGCTAATCAAAACGCACATGTACTATGGAGTCATGCAGCAGCATAGCATGGCTGTGGTATGAAGAATGAGATGTAACAAACAGTTTGACAAACTGAATGGTCAGTCTTCAAGTCGAGGTGCATCTGTTGCCTCGAGTGCAGACATAGGAACGAGGGGTGTATATGAGAAAGAGTGTGGATGTTCCTAATCACTGATCTTTTTTCTCATATCGATCTGTCGGCTGATCCTTTCCAATGTCAAATACCCTTTTGCTCCGTATTAGCTGTTTGCTACTTGTCATTTTTGCTGCTTTATTGCTTTGCTACTGTTACTGCTTTTGTTACTTTTGCTACTTCTGCTACTTGTGGCACAATTACCTTGTATCCATATGAAAAGTGTGTCGGATCGAATAGCAACTGTACCATTAGATATAGTTCCATGATTCTATGGACGGCGGAAATACATTTCTGTGACAAATTGATCAAGAATAGATTCATCAAGGGTAATATCATAGATTGGTTCTTTAGCAACCAGGTAAAAGTTTGAGGGATTGGATCCAGCGCCTGTCGATAAGACATCAAGCCGGCTGGTAAATACAGCCAACTGACTCTAGAGAGAGTTAATAAGTGAGTGGTCAGAAGTATCATGCCCGCTCATTGGAGCCTCTAATACGCTGGATGTGTTCCTGAGCGAGAAAAAAGAAGGTAGAGAATAAGTAGATCAGAGCTAATGGAGCTATTATTTCTTTTGATTCTTCACGGTCAGTATAAATAAGAGAAGCCACACATATAGACCATGGCTAATGAAGGCTAAAGCCTATTGTTCGACAAGGAGGAGATAATGGGTGTCCCAACCTGGTTTCTTTGGTAGTAGATTGGAACATCCAAGAGGTTCTACAGATTTTGTAGTAGAAAAAAAAAAAATTCTATTTTTCAATTAGAAATTCGCAGTCACATTTGAACACCTTTCAGTTGCCTTGATACAGTTGTATTAGTTGCATGGTTACAAAGAAGGAAGCCATTGTTAATAAGCAGAACAAACATACATGGAGCTTCCAGAGCCTTGGCTTTCTACCGTTCGAATGTGTATTCTGCCATAGTACTTTTTGCTCTGCTCACCACCTACTAGAGAGCCATGCCTGTGAAGGATGGTTAAAGAAGTCTCAGGCTAAATACAGTCCAACAGTGTCCACAATGTGAAAAGATGGTTCTGAGAGCCAACCAACAGGATCCAGCGACCATTGTAAAAAAAAAAAAAAAAAAAAAAAAAAAAAAAACCAGCGTTAACAACAATGCTCATTCCTCTTTTTCTTCTATAGTCCTTTTTATTCCTTTTCTTTACAATTAGTAGAGTGCTAAAGGTTTAATAGCTGCTTTTGTTTTTTTTTGTTTTTGTTTTTGCTTCCTCTTCTTCTTTTTATAATAGCTCAAAGAACACCAGGAAAGTGGCTGTCGCATTCATCTCCTTCCACCTGTTCAATCTATAGCTGTCCTCTGTGCTCAACCTGGTTGTCGTGTTAAAAGTCGAGTGGTCCATACATGTACATGTACACCAGGAGGAGAAGTAGGAGGAGGAGGGGGATGTGGACAAACATTTTGTTTAGCACATCGACACCCTCATGAACACGACTGTCCAAAACTGAAGGAACTTGAACAAGAAGCCATTGCGAAACAACAAAGGAAACAGGAACTCAAAGCGAGTATTCAAGAGACATTTGAGAACAAGGTGTCCTCCTCCTCCTCATCATCATCATCATCATTATCATTATCATCAGGAGTAACATCGGCATCAGCACCAGCGCCAGCACTATTAGTGAAGGAGGAGAGTAGGAATGAGAGAGCGGAAGCGACTAAAAAGACAATTGCAGAGGCTAAAGCAAAACTTGCAGCAAGAAAAGCGGCTGCTGCCTCTACTACAACTACCACTACTTCTCCCACTACTGCTACTGCCACTGCCACTACTGCTGCTGCTGCTGCTGCTGCTTCGAGATCGGCAGATGAGAACAAAATTCTATCATCAGCAGGATCATCCACAGCAACTAAACCAAAGGCTAAAAAAGCCCCACGGATGGTATCAGTTTTAAAATTGAAAAAATCGGCACAGGTAATGAATGTACTGGTTCGGATTGTCTAAACAGTATTTATGTGTATGGTAACATCGTACAGCAAAGAGTCAATGGCTAATCAAATGTACTCTGCCTTGAAAAAAAAAAAAACATCTGCTGTTGTGGTGAATGACAGGGTGAAGACAAGATCCCACTTAACTCGAGACTATACCTCCATATTCGATCGCCTCTATATCCACAGCTGAATGACAAGGCAGTGTTTGTGGACAAAACATGGACAGTAGGCAGATCGCTTGATAAAATCACAGAGTGGTTCAAGATTACACCACCTATGAATATGCATCAGTCCTTTGATGCCAACAAGGTTTGTATTCTTTACTTTTATGCGTATCATTTCCTATATTTGAGCATGAACAGAAAGCATATACAAGAACCTAACGCATATGTACTTTTTTCTCTTTTTATAAAAAATAAAAAATAAAAATACATTGATAGAGATTAAGCATATTTCATGCCAAAGAGCCAGAAGATGTACCCAAACGACTTGCCATGCAGGATCGCCTACAGCAGCTACCGAGCGTTGAAAGTGGTGATACAGTCTACTTGGCTCCTGCAGACTGGGATTATTCAGACCTCTAGTATATAGATGTAGCTACTAAATATTTCTCTATAAACACACCAGTCTTTCTCAAGCTATCCTCTCTTATTCAACAAGCACTTTCTTTTTTATGGCGTGATTATAAAGAGGCAATGCTCGCACTTTATTTTATATCCCGAACGACTTCTTGTCTATCCACATTCTTTAATCTATACTCTTTACCCACATGGTTCGCATGAAATGACATGTGCAATACTACATTCCTTGCATACTCTGCATTTGAGCCGGTATCCTCCGATCAACTGGCTTGTTTCTGTCAACCTTATCAATCGTGTTCCTTCGTTCAGCCCTTCTGTCTTTAGAGCTGCCTCTAAATCTACCTTTGTTGGTGGTTCTTGATAATGGCTCACTTGACTGGGCCCATTCTTGGTCTTGGATGCTATAGGTGGCGTCCCTACACTCTTGATCGGCTCATGCACAGCCAAAGAGGAGGATTGCTCGTCTATAGCTCCACGTTGGAATAAAAGCTTCCTGTTGGCTTCACTCAACCCATCTACATCTTGAATACGAGTGTTGTCTGCATTAAGGACTGTTTGCTTGGTGCTCCACTTTAGGTGGAATTGGTATTCCTCATTCTCCTTCACAATCTGCCACATCCGGATAGAACCATCCGCACAGCCTGTAACCAGATAGTGGCCCTCTTTAGAGGCATTCCATACAAGCGTATTAGCTTCACCACCTTCACATGGGATTACAATCAAACACTGGCCTGATTTCGGATCCCACACTCGCACTGTCATGTCCTCACTGCTTGAGGCAATGTACCTTCCATCAGGCGAATAAGCAATATCAATAATCCTCTCAATATGTCCTTCAAGCACCCATAGTATTGACCCTGTTTCAATATCCCCCACTCTAAACAGCCCTCCCCTCTGTCCAACAGCCATCTGTTGACTGCATGGTGAAAATGCTACACGGATTTCAACACTGTCAGACTGTATTTCGTAACATATCTCACCCGTTCCTGCACTCCATACTTTCCATTTGGCGAGACAATCGTGCCACAACACTATCTTCTGGCTGTCAGGCGTGTATACGATATGAGAGTTCCAGCTTGCTCTAACATCAACACTCACTTCATGCTGGAGTTCCCCTGATTGAGTTTTCCAAACTTTGATATCTCCATCGCCGTACGAAGCAATCTGGTCGCCATTAGGTGAGAATATCACACACTTCACCCATGTTTTGTGGCCATGTAGTGTGCGGATGAGCTCTCCTGTTTGTGTGTTCCATATAGTCACTCTTCCATACTCATGACCACAGGCAATTTGGTGGCCAATAGGTGAGAAATCAAAGGAATTGATATTATCAGCACCTTCGCCTTGTAGTTCCAAAATGTGAACGAGTACGTCTGTTTGGATATCCCAAAGACAGACGCGTGGAGAATAATGGCGAGAGGCAAGCAACCGGCCATCAGGTGAATACTTGATATCTTTTATACCTTTACCGGAGCATTGCAAAGTGTGGATGGACTGTCCTGTCCTTGCATCCCACATACGCACTGTTCCATCCCAACTGCTTGAAATTATTTGCTGCCCATCCGGCGAGCTCGTTATGCCACGGAAGCTTACTGAATGACTATGTAAGTCGTGACTGGATTGTTGTGGTCGAGTATCCCATAGACGTATCGTTTTGTCATCACTGAAGGACGCAATCTGGTGGTTGTTTGGTGAATATGCCAAGCATCTTATCTCACCAGAGTGACCGTAGAAGGTATTCATGAGTTGGCCTGACCTCGCATCCCAAAGCCATATTGTCTTGCTGTAATCGCAAACAGCTATCGTTTCTCCGTTTGGTGAATACTTTAGATCAAAGATATTAAAAAATTCTTTACCAAAAGTATGAATGACTTGCCATGTTTGCATATCCCACTGATGTATCTCCGTCCCGGTGAACGAGGCAGCAAACTTCCCATTAGGTGAATACTGTATCCCTTCGACATCATCATCATGCTCCAAACCAAACTTCTTTTGACCTGATCCAACATCCCACACATGCAGCCAACGATCTTTGTAACAACGAGTTATGATTTCCTGACCATTAGGTGAATACTCAATTTGCACAATCCAATCCACATGATCCATCAACATCGACTGTTGCCCCGATGTCGCATCCCACAGCCGCAATATATTATCTTCACCGCCAGTTGCAATCTGCTTTCCATCAGGTGAATATGCCACACTCTCCACGACACCAGTATGACCCTCTAATATAAATTTGAGAACGCCTGTTTGGGTGTCCCACACTCGCACTGAGCCATCCTTGCTAGCTGAGGCAAGATCGTTCCCGCTTGGCGAGTACGCTACACAGCTGACAGCCTTTGTATGGCCCACCAATCTGTGAACCAATGCTCCCGATCCTGCATCCCAAATTAGAACTACACTTTGCTCTTTGTTCCAGGAGGGAATATATCTGCTGTCTGGTGAGTATAAAAGCCTGTTGGGAGTTATATCGTCTTTTAAAGCCAAGAGTTTCTCCCATGTTGATGCGTCATACACGATGATTGAATTGCTATCTGATTTGTTTTTGATAACTGCAGCGAGTGTCTTGCCATCAGGTGAATATGCCCCATCCAATACATCGCCACTGGCTTCAAGAAGTGGCCATTCGCCAAACTGTACCCCTGCCATCTTTGCTTCACTCAGGTTTGCTGAACGAAGCCAACATTTCCGTAAGTTGACCTTCCTCAGATCTGCTCCTTGCAGCTGAGCATACTCAAAAATACCATGGCTGACATCTGCTCCTGGAATCTGGATGCCTCGCAGGTCTGCTCCGATAAATGACTCGCCTGTTCGGACCAAGATCGTCATCGCATTCGCTGCTGCTATCCGCCACTTCCTATCGCTCTTCGAGAGCTCTACATATCCATACAACTGCTGTTTGAACACTGGCTCAAGAAAGACACGATCCTCCAGGAACTGAAGAATAGATGGCTCATCTACAAAACTCCTCCATATTAAAGGTGATGTCTCATCAACTTTGACCACTTCCACTTCCTGCTCGCTCCCTTTGATATTTATGCCTTCGAAACTGAACACTGAACTAATACTCTGTCGACGAGACGGTGGTGTAGTCGCCTTTGCTTCTCCATCGTTTACAGACGTACTCATCATCGGTTGAGGCTCAAATATCGATCGTACTAGACAGTACTCTAGAATAGATCGATGGAGAAACCGATATTGATTGCCTGTTCGAGTGAGCGGTGATGCCTCACGTAGCAAATTCCTTCTATTCTCTTTGCTGAAGTACTCTTCTTTCCATGTACCCCTATCCTTGTACTCCGAGTACTCCACCACTGGATTGCCATCTTGATGCTTATAGATTGCTATAGCCAGCTCTGTCAGGTACTTGATTCCATTCTGTGCAAACCCTTCATCTGTCAATATCCGAAACATCCTTCTGTCTTCCGGTCTAAATGTCTCGCCTAGTCGCTTCTTGCCTCGTTCAAGCCACTGCTCAACAAACTGGTCATACAATGTGACACGCTTGACCTCGCTCTTGGTGATCCCTTGACTTGGATCCACCATCCGTGGGAGTACTTCAAGTGACATCGATAGTATGAATGGGTTCTTCACAAGCTCTTGTAGGCTAGGGACCATCTTGAGTGCGCCCTTATAGTCCTCTACACTCCACAGCAGATCCATAGATTCAACGTATTGTTCGATATAGTCTTCAATCTGTTCCTCAGAGAATGGCACAATCACTGCCTCTTGGAACAGTCCACTATCTGCTTGATGATTGCGGTCCATAGGTTGGAATCGATCTCGATAGTCCGATCCAAGATATTCACTGCGACAACTGATCACCATCTGACACTTCCACTCGCCTGCCTTATTCAGTTGGTTGGCAACATACAGGTTGTTGGTCTGCATGCTCTCATCATATCCATCACAGATCAACACGAATGACCGGTTCATCTTCAGCTCCTTGATCTCCGAGTCTGTGAAACCGTAGTCTCGCAGTTGCTTTGCAGCCAGATCCTTCTCTGGCTTGTCGATGGCTGGAAGGTTGATGAACAGTGGAATCCGACCATGTCTCTCTTGATATGTCTCCCAAAGCATACGCTCTAGAGTGCGGTTGAATGTGGATTTGCCTGCTCCTGAATCTCCTTGCACAAGCATCACTTTCTGCTTGCTGTCTAGGAACTCTTTCACTTTGTCCATCAACAAGAACCGCTCGTCATCGCTCGCTTGAGGACTTGCTTTGGCATACTGCTGGACATAGAACCCTTGACTATTTCCAATATCTATTCGTCGTCTCTTTAGTTGACGTAGACTATCCTCAACACCTGGCTTCTTCTGTACACGATCAAGTAGGTGTGAAGATTTAGGTCGAGAGAGTGTAGCAATAGAGGAGAACTGGATCAATGGCTCTTGAAGAGAGGTCCTGTATAGCTCTGTTTTTGTCACCCCATCCACCTTGAGATCATTCAAAAGAGTGTTTGCAGCTGAAATAAATGTGAACAGAAAGAAGGAGCGAAAACATGTATAGAGTACGTGGGTTAGTATATAATGTTTAGCCTCATTGTCACCAAACATTATCCATACAAGAATGGAATACATGCCTTGGAAACCATCTGGTGGTAACGAGGATAGTTGTCTAAGGATATTTATGATCCATTGCTTAATGCGTATATGCTGTCCCCACTCCTTGTCATTCCTGTATATCTCTCCTAGGAATGTGACGGCATCTTGCCGAATACCCATGCTCCACTTTGTATCTGCTGCAACCTGTCCCAACATCTGACAGAGTCCCCATTGGAATGCTACTTCATTTCGACAGGAGACTTCACACACAAGAGTCTTGAACTTGGTCAGCTCGCCTGTCTGCAGTAGTCCATCAGCTACTCGAAGTGCTGGATACCATCCTGACTTGCGACTGAAGCTGAGTCCTTCTTCCATACACTCTCTGAACGCCACTCCACTCTCATAGAGTGATGTTGTTCCCTTGTACACCTTTAGACTCTTGTCCATGATATCTGTCACTGATGGAAGTCCTTTCTGGATGTTGCTTATCTCATCCATAAAGGCATTCATATCCATGTCTTTGACTGCACTCACTACTCCAAACACTCCTCGGAGTACTGCTGATGTCCGTCGGAGAATACCTTGCACTGTTGATTCGTCGTCTGGAATGTGCAATAGTGCTTGGAAAGCATAAGCTGACTGATAGACTAGATGAGGGTCTGAACTCTCTTTCAATCCTTTGAGGTATACTGCAAGTGGCTCATGGAGTTGTTCTCGCTTCAGACCCTTGACCTGGTTGTTGACCATGGCATCGAGGACATGTGAGACTGTAGATGAGAGGTGATAGAGATGATCTCCAGATTGAGTATGTGTGCTTTGCAAGCGAGAATTGAGAGTGGTGAGAATTGAGACAAGGTCATCCGGGTCGAGGTATCCAAGAGGAGCATGTCGCATCAACTGAGCCAGTCCTTCCAGTAAATGAACCCTCAGCATGCTGTTATGGCTGATGTCATTGATCAAAGCCGCAAGTAGTGCTCTGAACTGTGTTTGGTCAAGACCTGGCGCCAGAGCCACAACCTCAGCAACAGTAGCTTCGGCCTTAATCTCATCGTTGATAAACAGTTCAACCACATCCGATCCCAGCTTACGCAATCGACCATGTTCATCCTGATTGCTTGACATGGCCTGATACCACTCTTTCTCAAGCCTATTAAGATCGTTTGTTTGGATAGGAGCCATATGAAGCAGACTGAGACAATATGCAAGCTGGTAGATATTATCCAGACTTGTATCGACATCTGGTAAGTTGTACCTGATGACTGTTGGAGATTCATTGTGGTTGAATATGTCCTTTGATATAGTTGCAATGGCCTGTACTGGCATGAATCGCACTGCTTCCATCACCTTGCTCATTTTGCTACTGCTGGGTCCGTTGATTTGTTGGTTAGCAGTGATAATACTGTTATTAGTGTCGTTGTTGTCGTTGCTCCCTTGGATGTATCCCCATTTCTCTGCTTTCTTGTCTCGTCTCTGTGCATCAGCTGAGTGACCCAATTGGTCAAATAAGCGAGCAAGTTGATAGTAGGCTGAGCCAATACCTTGGCGCAATACCATGTCTTCATTGGAGCCTGAAGAGGTCGAAGAGGCTGAAGTCATTGAAGCAAAGGACTTTTTCCAAGGCTTCTGAATACGAGACAGTACAGAGTCAGCATCGAGGCATAGCTCCGTCACTAGGATGCGATCGTCGTCTACAGTACGAGTAGCTTGCATGTACAAATCAAAGAGTCTCAGAGCCTGTGTTGGTGAGAGTGTGCTTCGTGATGGAGAATTGATGCTGCTAAACATGGTCTATTGCTTTCGTTTTTGTATTACTATCTGTACCACTGAGAGAAGAACAGTTTTTTAAAAGACTGTTTGTTCGTAGCAGCGTGGAAAATGTTTCCTTGCATGTCCCAGTCATATTTGCCCGTCTCTTACATGCATGTGTGTTTCAAAAGATTCGAGATTCGGACTAATAAAATAGAAATGCAAGGAAGATTGTCTAATGTGCTGAAGGATGAAAGATGAAAGAAAGATGAAAGATGAAGAATGAATGATGATGGATTGAAGTTGAAGAATGAAAGATGATGGATGAAGGATATATAGATTGAAATGTAATTGTCAACTTCTGGACATTTGCTTTTGCTTTTTGTAATTTTTATTTTTTTTAATTGAGAGGGTTAAAGAATGCACCCTGGGACAGAATGAAGAATGACGGTGAGATCAAGCTTTGTGTTGTGAGCTGTGTAGAAATGTTTACGTGCATGGAGCGAACACATGTGACATGTAGGACAAGGCAACCAATCTGAACATGATCTTTTTGCAAGACAGCGAAAGCAGACAAAAGATATACACTCGATAAGCACCTGAGCAAAAGTCCGGTGGATCCAGCACCGGGATCCTGTATAACCATTCAACCATTCATATAGCAAAGGAGGAAAGGTTTAGACTAGCTTTGATCTGTGTAGCTTATTGAACGTAGATTTAGCAAACCCATGCCTGGATCACCATTTGAAGGTCTCTTTAACTGGAGATGGCCAGGCCAGTCTTCAACTAGAGCTGAAGGTGTAAACAAGACGAAGAAGCGTGCATCTCTGATATCCTTCATTTCGAATATCTTTTCCTGCTGCATTCTCGTAACAACTGTCATTTGTTACTAGGTACTCGACTACTGCTTTCTTATTCTCCTTTCCTTGTATGTACGTACATGAAGGGCAAATAAAGAAAGAGCAACTGTTTCTCTCCATGCATGCACCAATATCTTTCCTTTCCCTATCCTGCGTAGCACCTACAATGGTTTATGGATAGGTTCAGACAAAATTCTTTTCAAAAAAATAAAAAGCATAACAAAGGCTGTATGTATTCCACAAAAAGTGCCACCCTTTTTCATTACCATGCAATCCATACTTTCTCTTTTTTTTTTTCCTTGATGTGCACAACCACGCCAGGGTGATTATTAGGATTTAGTATATTTGCTACACGGGTGACCCATGCTTTCGCTTATGACCGCACCAATCTAATGCTTTGTCTTGTAAGGCTCTTCTGCCTCGCAGGATACCAACACTTGAAGGGTGCTCGACTTGGATAGAACCATTGTAAACATTAATGTACACACAACAATAAAAGCAAAGTGATAAAGTCTGAATGACCCTCAATATCTTTAAAAAAAAGTCTTTTATCCGTCATGGATTCTCTGGCCTTTGCGTCACTGACTTTTGTACCATCTTCCTTTTTTGCTTTTTTTCTTCTTCTTGTTTTCTTTCCCTCTATTGCATATTCAAGCTACATGAACTAACGATCTACAGGCGCTACACTGGATTATCCCATCGATCAAAAACCTGTAGGATGAGGACGCTACAACGTTTTTAATTGATTTTGTCCAATTCAAATTAAGCTTTCACTGTTCTTCCTTTGAATTGCTCCAATCATTAAAAAAAAATTGCCCAAGTTAAAGAATTGACCGACAAGGGCGGAGAATTTTATCCGAGTCCAACCACGCAGTTCATGACATCCAAATGACCATACGGAAATAACCATGCGACTTTGTAATATTATCGGTCCGTTCTGCAACTTACTAACCGCACTGGGCATTTTTTTTTTTTTTTTTTTTTTTCGAATTAAAAAAATAGTTCACCAATTATTTTTATTTTATTTATTAAAAATGTCAAGGTAACGTTACAAAGATCATAGCGCGTTGGCACATAGGCACATTGGTACTATGCCAGCAGGCCCATGTATAAAAGGAAATGAGCTTCAAAGAAAAAAAAAAAGAAAAGAAAAGGCAAGGTCGCTTCAACACTCCTAATCACCAAATTCACATTCACTGCAGTACCTACCGGGGATCAACTCGAAATGACCAACTTTGTTAACACCGCTGACGACGAGCTCTACAAAGGTCTCGAGGCTCAGAGAACCGCCTTGAAGCGGAATGACAGCTCTAATGTATGCGATCTTGGTAATTCTTTTGTAAAATACTCCATCTTCTAGGTTATAAACATTGGTTCCCCTATTTTACACTATCCATAGGCTATTTAGATCAAAACCGAGAGTGGAGGCAGCGACAATGTCATCTCCCAGCCCCGCGCGCAAAATTCCGGGGCTGCCTAAAAATAAAAGGATATCCCTATATGATAGATCCGTAAACCAAAGTACCATTGGCGAATCAAAATGTACTTTAAAAAAAAAATCCGTTATTGCGGGAAATCATAGGATAAAGAGAAAATTCCACGTAACTTGAGGCTGCATCTCCAATTTTGATCATCTTGATATCCACAGTTAAATGGCAAATCGGTGTTTGTTGACAAAACATGGACAGTAGGCAGATCGCTCGATAAAATCATAGAGCGATTTAAGACTACATTTCCCATGAACATGAATGAGCCTTTTGATACTAGGAGGGTTGGTGCTTTTTCCTTGTATCCCTGGCTTTTCTTATCATTGAACACCAATATAGATTTTCTACATGTTACCTAGAGTTTTTTTTTTTTCTTCCAAATGCAATACAAAATACATCGATAGATTAAGCATCTTTCATGCCAAAGAACCAGGATGTACCCAAACAACTTAGCATGCAGGATCGCCTATAGAAACTATCAGGTATTAAAAGTGCTGATAGAGTTTACTTTGCTCCTGCAGATTTGGATTGTTTAGACCTCTAGTATATAGATGTAGCTGCTAAACATTTCCCATAAACACGCGCAATATCTCTCAAGATACCGTTTATTTGAAAAAGGAGTGTATTCTCCGTACATTTTTTTATTTTTTTTTTATTTTTTTTTTTATTAAGGCCTTATTACCAACGGCTATCATTTTCACTTTATTCTTTATCCCAAATGGCTTCCTGCTTATCCACCGCTTTTACTCGCGAAGTTTGCATGAAATGACATGTGCAAAATTGCATTCGCTGCACACACTGTATTTGAACCGGTAGTTTTTGATCGATTGACTTGGCTCTGTCAATGGTACTCCTTCGCTCAAATCTCCTGCCTCCAACACTACCTCAACTGATGGGTCTCGGGGACAGCCCACTTGACTGGAGACATTCTTAGATTTAGATGTCATTGTTAGCGTCGCTACGCCTTGGAGCGCCTCATGTGTAGCTAAAGGGGAACGTCGCTTCTCTATAGCTCCACGCTGCACCAGAAGCTTCCTATTGACTTCACTCAACCCATCCACACCTTGAATACGAGCGTTGTTTGCATTAAGGACTGTTTGCTTGGTACTCCACTTTAGGTGATATTGATATTCTTCATCCTCCTTCACAATCTGCCACATCCGAATAGAGCCATCCTCAGAGCCTGTAACCAGATAGTGGCCCTCTTCAGAGGCGCCCCATACAAGCGCCCTAACTTCTCCACCTTCAAATGGGATCACAACCAAACACTGACCTGCTTTTGGATCGTACACTCGCACTGTCATGTCATAACTGCTTGAGGCAAAGTATCTTCCATCGGGCGAATAAGCCATATCGGTGATGGAGCTGGTGTGTTCTTTAAACATACATAATACTGGCCCTGTTTCCGTATCCACCACGCTAACCAACCCTCCATCGGTCCCAATAGCCATCTGCTGACTACATGATGAAAATACTATGCTTTTCAAAGAATCATCAAATTGAGTTTCGTAACAGAGCTCGCCCGTTTCTGCACTCCATGCTTGCAAAAGTTGGTACCCCCAGCCACAATTAAACATTATCTTTCGGCTGTCAGGTGTGTATACAATAAAAGAGCCGCCGCTTGCTTTATTCCTCGCTTCAAACTGGAGATCCCCTGATTGAGCTCTCCAGACCCTGATATTACCGTTTCCGTCAGTCGAAGCAATCTGATCGCCATCGGGTGAGAATACCACGCATTTTACATACGCATCATGGCCCTGTAGCACGCGGATGAGATTTCCTGTTTGAGTGCTCCATACAGTCAGGTTCCCAGAGTTATGACCGCAGACAATTTGACAGCCGATAGGTGAGAAATCAAAGTCGTAAATGCCATCGGCATATTCACTTTGCAATCCCAAAGTATGAATGACTTGGCCTGTTCGAACATCCCAAAGAAAGACGCATGGAGTTTCGTGGCGGGAAGCAAGTAATTGGCCATCAGGCGAATACTTGATGTCGTATGCATATCCATCAAAGCTTTGTAAAACGTGCATGGGCTGTCCTGTTATTGCATCCCATATATGCATTTTTCCATCGAGGCCTCGTGAAGTCATTTGCTGCTCACTTGGTGAACGCCTAATGCCAACGATGGTTGCTGATTGGCTCTGTAACTCTTGACTTGAGAGTTGTAGTCGGGTATCCCAAAGACGTATCGTTTTGTCATGACTGAAGGACGCAACTTGATGGTTATCTGGTGAACATGCCACATAAAATACATTGTCAGAGTGTCCGTAGAAGGTATTCATGAGCTGTCCCGATTTCGCGTCCCAGAGCCATATTGTATTTCTCCAATCGCAAGCGACTATCACAGCTCCATTTGGAGAATATTTTAGATCATTGGTAATAATGGAATCCTCTTTAAGAGTATGAATAACTTTCCCTGTTTGCATATCCCACTGATATACCGCTGCCGAGGTGAACGAAGCAGCGAGCTTCCCGTTTGGCGAATACTGTATGCCTTTGACATAATAATCATGTTCCAAACCAAACTTCCTTCGACCAGATCCAACATCCCACACATGCAAGCACTCGTCCTCAAAACAGCGAGTAATGATTTCCTGACCATTAGATGAATACACAATTTGTTCGATCCTAGACTCATGACCCATCAAAATCATCAACTGTTGCCCTGATGTTGCATCCCACAGTCGTAATATTTTGTCTTCGCCACCAGATACAATCAGCTTTCCATCAGGTGAATAGGCCACACACCACATAGCATCGGTATGGCCCTCTAATATAAACTTGAGAATGCCCATTTGGGTATCCCACACTCGCACCGAATTTTCTCCGCCAACTGAAGCAAGGTCGTTTCCATTTGGCGAGTACGCTACACATCGGACAGTACCTGTATGGCCCAATAATCTGTGAACCAACGCTCCTGACAATGCATCCCAAACTAAAATTGCTGTTTGATCGTCACCCCAGGAGGTGATATACCTGCTTTCTGGTGAGTAGACCAGACTGTCGCCAAGTTCATCGTCCTCCAAAGTCGAAAGTTCTTCCCATGTTGATGTGTCATATACGATGATTGAACACCTAGTTGATGCATCTCTGATAACTGCAGCGAGGGTCTTGCCATTAGGCGAATATGTTCCATCTAATATTGCACCGCTAGCCTCAAGGAGTGGCCACTCTCCAAACTGTATACCTGCCATCTTTGCTCCACTCAGGTTTGCTTCTCGAAGCCAGCATTTTCGTAAGTTGACCTTCCTCAGATCTGCTCCTTGTAGCTGAGCATACTCGAAAATACCATGGCTGACATCGGCTCCTGGAATCTGAATGCCTCGCAGGTCTGCTCCGATGAATGACTCGCCTGATCGGACCAAGATTGTCATCGCATTTGCTGCTGCTACTCGCCACTTGTTATCACCCTTCGAGAGTTCTATATATCCATACAACTGCTGTCTAAACACCGCCTCAAGACGGATACGATCCTCCAGGAACTGAAGAATAGATGGCTCATCTACGAAACTCATCCATACTAAAGGTGATGTCTCATCAGCTTGGATCATTCCCACTTCCTGCTCGCTATCCTTTATATTCACACCTTTAAAACTAAACACTGAATTAACACTCCGTCGACGAGAGAGCGATGTGATTGCATTTACTTCATCACTTGTAGAAATGACCGCTGCTGGCTGCGGATCAAATATCGCCCGCACCAGACTGTACTCTAGAATAGATCGATGGAGAAACCGATATTGATTCCCTGTACGGGTGAGTGGTGATGCCTCACGCAGTAGACTGCTCCTACTCTCTTTGTTGAAATACGCTTCTTTCCACGTGCCCTTATCCTTGGATGGTAAATACTCCATTACAGGGTTGCCATCTTGATGCTTATAGATCGCTATAGCCAGCTCTGTCAGGTACTTGATCCCATTCTGTGCAAACCCTTCATCTGTCAACACTCGGAACATCCCCCTATCCTCTGGTCTTAATGTCTCGCTTAGTCGCTTCTTGCCTCGTTCGAACCACTGCTCAACAAACTGGTCATACAATGTGACCCGCTTGATCTTGCTCTTGGTGAGCTCTCGACTTGGATCCACCATCCGTGGGAGTACTTCAAGCGACATCGATAGTATGAATGGGTTCTTCACAAGCTCTTGTAAGCTAGGGATCATCTTGAGTGCAGCCTTATAGTCCTCCACACCCCATAGTAAGTCCATAGAATCGACATATTGTTCGATATAATCTTCGATCTGTGCCTCAGTAAATGGTACAATCACTGCCTCTTGGAACAATCCACTATCTGCTTGGTGGTTACGGTCCATAGGTTGAAATCGATCTCGATAGTCCGATCCAAGATATTCACTGCGACAACTGATCACCATCTGACACTTCCACTCTCCAGCCTTATTCAGTTGGTTGGCAACATACAGGTTGTTGGTCTGCATGCTCTCATCATATCCATCACATATCAACACAAATGACCGATTCACCTTCAATTCCTTAATCTCTGAGTCTGTGAAGCCATAATCTTGCAGCTGCTTTGCAACCAGATCCTTCTCTGGTTTGTCAATGGCTGGAAGATTGATAAATAGTGGGATCCGACCATATCTCTTTTGGTATGTCTCCCAGAGTGTGCACTCCAGAGCATGGTTGAATGTGGATTTGCCTGCTCCTGAATCTCCTTGCACAAGCATCACTTTCTGCTTGCTGTCTAGGAACTCTTTCACTTTGTCCATCAACAGGAACAACTTGTCTCCGCTTGCTTGAGGACTCGCTTTAGCATATTGTTGGATATAGAACCCTTGACTATGGTGCGTGCCAAAACTGATGCAATAATTTGCATTTTTTAACATTCATTCCTCATTCTCCTTTTCCTTTCTAATGATCTTCCCTACCATCACCGCTTCTCATTCTCATTTGTCTCACCTTCGTAGACTGTCATCGCTGTTCTCATCAATGACGCAATTAGCGAATAATCGCCATTTGTATAGTCATGTCTCAT